CATATTAAAGATATGACTTGTTCTGATAATTGACATTTAGCAATTGATTGGGTTTTAGTTGTTGTAATTCTGCTTTTACAGATTAATATCTGAATTGCTGCTTCCATAACGGTAAGTGCATTATGTAAAAAGAAAACAAATCTTACCTAATTTATGATAGCATTGCTATTTTCTTTTGTAAAAAATTGGCAACAATAGCTCTTTGCATCTGTCTATGTCTGAACTCCAGAGTGGCCGACCACATTTTCCCCTTTACTTGTCCCTGAGCTCAACTCCACCCTGAGCTTTGGCTTTACATGAACCCAACACCGTTGGAAACAAGCCACCGGATCAGTGACACTGCAAGAAAACCAGTGAAGACCACAAATACAAAGAAAACAAATCGGAAAACTTGACCAACAGCGAACGACAATTGCAGCATGGTGTTAATGGTCTCTGGGGTTTGTTAACATGGCCATTAGATGGCCGGGTTTGCAGTGGCATCAGGTTTGGCCTCCAGCATCGGCGGCCACCGAGTTTGGGAATCCGACGGAGATGCTGGGACGGTGGTTCTTGCTAGACAAACGAAGCTGTTTATGAGTCTCCCAGGCTGGGGATTGAGATTTGAGATTGAGACCGAGTCTGAGGCAGTAAACGATGATTGCCAACCGGTTTGCTTGAATGGGGAATGAAAAACCCGTTTGTCTGTTGCTGTATTTTAGCATTTTCAATGTCATGAGTTCGGGCTTACGTTTTGTTTGTGTGTGGCAGGCAAAAATTAAGCCTTTTACCAAACGAGCAAACAATAAACCATCGACCAAGCACAATTTCAAACGCGGAGGAGATCATCGCAATGGCACAAGAACTGATACGCCCCAGTAGAGCATAACTATCAGGGGTCTGTCATATTTTAATTCCGATGATCAGCACCATCTAACTGGCTTTAGAACCACATCCGCCAGATACATTCGGTTATACAGTTCTGCGGTCGTATCGCTATTGCTTTTCAAGGTTAGCATTCTCTCTTTTTCGAACCCGCAACGTGCCCCACGCAAATTCTTCCCACAACCTTGAGGGCCGTGTTTTATATTTAATGCAGAGACCCCAACAGCTGAACCAGAATCATACAGCTCCGACTGTAATGCTAACCCATCACTAGTAATATATTCATCCAGTTTCGGTGAAAGTGCACACTTGACACCTGAGAGAATCAGCAGCTGACTCACGCCCATCTCAAACTGACAGTTAAATAAGGTTACTCAGACATTTAAGGTAGTCAACAATTAATAAGTTTTACAATAGTGGGACCAAATAGAATTTGAAATGACGGTATTGATTATTTATATCATTATTCCATTATGTCTAGGTACATAAGTCAAGTTCAAGAAGTCGAGAAAAAGTTTGTTTAAAATTGTTTGTCTATTTTAGAACTTAGAACTCTCACCCAACCGTTAACCTTTTAAAGCGTTGAAAAAACTAGATATTTCAGTCAATTAGTAACAGGTATTACCATTCATTTAAAATAACTCATTATACTATAATAAATCTCGACCTTGCATGTTACTAAAATCAATAAGCATAATAAATTTTATTTAATGACTCACTTGCAAAGTCAACTATCATAAAAATGATGTTTATATAGTGGAAGAGTCTCGTTCATAATTTTAAAATTGAACTGGTGATTTCATTGAAATACCACGGCTCAAAATGTAATTGCAATTCTGCAAATCTTGGTCTTCAGTATTTACAAACAGCAAAAATAAATCGTGCAGAGAAAATAAAAAGAACATGCATCATTCCATATATTGACGTTGCATTAAGTGGGAATTGTTGTTTTCTGTTTCCGCTTAATTCCAGAAAAAATCTTGTATCGCTGAGATCGCCAGATGCGCGAGTGAGTTGCATAATACCTTACATAAGGTAAGAGCGCAACGAATGAAACTTTTTTTTTTGTTCTGTAAGCGGAAAACTCTGACCATATAGCAGAAAATACCATGGGTGACCTCGTCCGTCTCCACTTTGATAAACGTTCAGAAATTTCTTGCTGCGCCCTGAATCTTTCGATTGCAACGAAGGGGCACAACACAATGCCAATTGATTGCGAATTTATTGCACTGTTTTCAGTGATGACTCTTTGCTGAGAATATCAGTAGCAGAAGTCGTTCGGAAATCAGTGAGAATTGACTCATGTAATAATAAAGTAAAGCCCCGACTGAATCTTATGAAAGCCGGAGCTAGAGTGCTTTAATTTTTCTTATTTCAGATATTTACAAAAGTTTTTTACATTTACAAGATTTGATATAGTATTGCATGATTCACAGCATCAAGACTTGATGTGTGTAGTAATCGCTCTTTTCATGTTTCATAACTTTGTTCTTCAATATTTCATTCGACTTCCTAAATGCGTGAATTTATTTATGTGAATTTTTTTTTAAATTAATAAAATTTACAGACTTTTCACACATTAAATTGGGTTTAATCACCCGGTTAGCACATCAAAAACCATTCGATTGGGTTGCAATTAACACGCCAATTAAAGAGAAATTGTTGCATACCAAAAATTTCCCTTCAAACCAAATGTAGACATTTAGCAATGTGAATATTTTAGGTTCACCTTGATCCAATAAATTGTTGATTCGTAATCACAATGATAGTGAAAGATGGAGCGAAGAAACCTCGAGTAGTTCGCACTCCCATTTGAGTTCGCAATCATGATTCATTCGGCGAGCGCTGCACAGCATGGTCTTGAATTCGATTCGTGGACAAAAATCGGACAAGCGTGAGATGGTCAGGGCCGTTAAACTGGAAATAATGCCCCCACTTTTAAGCGATCTGGTAGGCCTGCTTTTCAGTCCCGCTGCCTCACTGTACCGAGGTCTTCAGCCCCGACCGGCTGTGAGTCAGTTGTCCAGTTGGTTGGCTCCAACTACCATATTTAGTTTGCCCCGTATGCGTGTCATTTGCATGTAACGTGCGGCTTTTGTGAACGGCAACTGGGGAAAGGACGGATGGTGGTATGAAGTGATTGGATATTTTGGGATTGAAGTGCGTTTTTTGTTTTTCGTACTTAAAAAATTTGGGTGGTATTTGATACACTAGCTAAAACATTTATTGAATATAGTTTTGGTGGTAAAAACTTCACTTAGTTTTAAATTTGTTTGATAAATATATTTTTTATATCATTGCATTTCTGAATTTCGTCGTCTTAGTTTGAAAACTTCCATATATTTATCTACTCCCCGACAAAATGTAATAATTTTGTTTAAAATAAAATAATACTGTATTAATAACGAAATTGGTTGTTTTATTCCATTTATAAAATTCATTTAAATTTAAAAAAAACTTGAAGATTTTTTGATGGCTTCTATAGGAACGATTGTATCAAATAATTAAATCTTCGATGCTTTTAAAATATTTTTTTGTATAATCCCCAACTTCCGACCACTATTCATCATCCACTGTGCAACCCACGTTTTGCGAACAACAGCGACAAACAAATATGGTTTATGACAATTGTGCAAAGAGCGTCACAGAGAATAGGGAAATGCAAATATAATTAGCAACAACAATGTGTAAGTTCATTGGTCAGCCACACATGGCAGAAAAATGATTTTTACATAGAAAAAAAAGCACAATTTGATTATTTTCGGTTTGTTTTGGCTACCGACTTTTGCAAACGGGAAGCCAATTCAAAAACTGAATAGCAAGCAGAGATGAAACCAGAAAAAAATAATATTATCGACCAGAATAGAAGAGGAAGCCTGATGTAAACATTGGTTACGGTCAATTTTATATTATTTATTTTAAAATTGACCTGATATCCTCATTACCAATTGAACAGTGTTATATATTTTGGAGATATAAATTTGTAATTTATCAACAGAAGTTATATGCCTTCTCATTATCTTTTGTAGAGATACGAAGTACACATTTGATGTTCCCTCTGTGTAAGTACACGTGCAATGCAAGTAAATTGTCACTTGGTTGGAAAGTCTGGCTAACGAAATGTGAGGGCAGGTAAAAAGTATGCGTCAACCACGCGCAAATGTGGGACAAAAGCCCAAACCCCAAGAAACAGCAGAAAAAAGACAGCAAAAGCAAAATAAAAAGAAAGGGGGACCGGGGAAAAGTTTAGTTCAAACAAACAGTGAGGGAAAGTTTACCCAGCATTATTGTTGTCGTGGTTGCTTCTGCTCTCCTGGCATTTTATCGATTTCTAGATCACGTTTTAAAATATGTATACCAAACAAATCGCAGACGGGGCAAACAATTTCTATCAGCAACCAGTGGTCGATGGGGTGGGATAGGAGTGAGCCAACTCAGACATGAAACCAAAGCCAAGTGGCTCGTTAAAATCTGTCTTGCCCGAGGGTTTGAAATCTGGCAACGGGAGTCGTGTTTTTGCTTTGGTTTACTTTTCACAAAACTTCTGGAAAGTTTTCCTAACGGGAAATTGACAAATTGTCGGGGATATTGTGAGCATAATAATGGGCAAGTGTCGTGAGTGTGTGTGACACTTGTCCCATTATTGACAAAATTATTTGTGGGTTTATACTGGTTTTGTGATTGAATTGGACGCCCAATTCAATTATTTAAATTTTACGTTGATTTAAACTAGTTTTGTGAATTAAGTTTTCTTTGGAAAGTGTATTGTTTGGTTATTTAGCCCATTAATGTACTATCATGTCAACAGTTTCTTTATCTTTTGCTACATTATATACCTTCAGGGTAATATTGTGCATAAAACCATTTTTAATTAACTTGGGATTTTAAGATTTCATTATCTTTTTATCGAATTTCTGATTGTGGCAGAGCTTTACCTATCAAATTTTCCTTTGTTTATATTTATGAATAAGTCGATGATTCAGAATTGATTTTTGTTTACCTATGGTAATTAATTCATATAAATCATATTTTTAATTATTGCGCTATTTCAAAAGCTAAATTTAATATGTTTATTTGCCGTTAACAATTTTATTAAATTTAGGTAAGCTGTTTATAATAATATATATAGTACTCACCCATCATACACCCGACAGGTGGTGTTGTTTATTCTCTTATCAGACGCTCTTCTCCTCCGATCCTCGAAAAGATCCTTTACAGCCGTCACTCCCAGGACGAAAAGCACCGGGATCATTGCCACCTCCTTGCCAAAGGCGCTGATTTCCGGCACCCAGTTGAGCAGGACGATGAAGATGAAGTACAAATTGGCCACTCGATGGAACTGCTCCAACAGGTTCTTCGGTATAAAGGAGAGCAGTGTGTACTTCGTCGTCCGTATCTTGTTGCCCACAAACTGTCCGTTGGGGTGATCCCTCTTAGGAGTTTTCGGCGGCACTGTGTGATTGGGCACCACCATTCGGTAACTCCGCTCCTCGAACTTATCGCTGGTGTTGTAATTGCACAGGCTGAGGCGTTTCCACCAGGGCGGCGCTTCAGTACGCCGGAGTGTGTATATAGATTCGGATCGCGAGGCTTGCCGCGAATGGCCACGCCCCCCGGTTGCTGAAGTGGGCGCTGAGGGTTCCCTGGCCGGTTCCTCCTTGTGTCCCGGTGGCAGGATGAAATCAGTTTTGGATCCAACGCGACTATGACCTCTGCCCGCGGGCGCAGCACTTCCTGGCGGTGAGTCTGTGATTTGACCCTGCGAAAAAGCCCGTTGGTGGCCTTTCATGGCGGACTTTATGGGTCGTCCATTGGCTCCAACGATGGCTCCTCCGCCATGGCTTATCGAGCGGGCATGACCCCTCGAAGGAGCCGCCATCGCCACTCCGGGAATGCCCTGTCCTCCACCAGGGGCGCTACCTACTAACGGATTGCCGCCTGGAAAGACATAGGTTCGCTCGGGCTCTCCGGCTCCTACTGTCAGTCCTCCCAGTCCCGTGGACGTCGTCATCATCAGGCTGGTGGGGGCTGAGGTGGCACTGGCATGGGGAATCGCCGACGGCAGGTTGTCTCCAGCCAGATTCGGCGGTGCCGAGCGCTGCTGCTGCACTACTAGAAACTTTCGCCGCAAGTCTTCCGTGTTCGCTGAAGGCATCTTCGCAAGCCACAACCATCAGATTACCTTCTTCGGCCTGGCCACGATCTACCTCGGATATGTGTTTATTGTATGCAGTTTTTCTCAGTGTCAGTGTAGTCCGTATCCAGGTTGAGGTGGCTCCAGTTGCTATCTACCAAGCTGTCCAAAAGCTGATCCTAGCACCAAGACACAAAAGTTGTGGGTGTCATCACTGACACCTTGATTGCAAAGGCCATGACCATCTGAAAGATTAACAGAGAAAATGCAATTATATAAATGAAACAGGATTAATTAAAAAAATCATCCCTTAAATTAATAACTAATGCGACAGAAGTTACTTTCCTAAAAATTCTTACAAAATTTATAAATCAATAAGACATTTTCTATTTTTTACTGATTTAGGCCTATTAAATTTAACGTTTCTCTGAATATAACATATGTTGCAGTGTTACATTTTGTTTCCTAAATGTTCTAGAAACGTACACATTAATTGGGATATGAATAATGTTTCTAAGAAAGTTAATTAAGAAGAAAATATATTATGACTTACTCTTTCAAACTTATTCTGTGACTAAGATTTTGATAAGCAAACCGCATTTCCTTTATTTAACAAAAAATACTAACGTCACAATGGGTCACCGCCTTTTTCTAAAAACTTTATTTCCATATTTGAACTTAGACCAACATGAATATTTTATATTTGCTTATAAGCATATATAAAGTTAAAAATCTTCACAGATTAAACAATAATATATGATATAGCTCAAAATAGAAAGACATAGAAAGGTGGAAACAGAGCAATCCGATTACAAATTACATTTGGAGCTATAAAAATATAACGAGGCTGGTTAATTGCTGCCCAAAAGTTTATCGAACCCGGCCGAGGCACTCAACCACCAAAAATATAAAAAACGAAAAATAATAATAAAAAAAAAGCGCGCTTTAAGCTCGCCCTTGATTCGAGACTTGGGGCTTCCGATAAGCTAAGAGTCAACCCAAAAACATCACGAAAAGAGCAGTAGCGAACACAAAGACCCACAAGGTCAAGCGTAACGCGGGTGCTGGGTGCATGTGGGTTGCCCTTTGTTGTTTTTGGCACAGCTGCTTTTCAAGATTTTTCAACTCAATCGATTTCCACATTGACAGAAAAAAGTTCAAGGTGTCCCAAAAAAAAAAACACATTTCTCACATTGGGCTTGAACTTTGATTTTTGAGCTGTCAAAAGTGTCAAAAGCGAGGTCAACTATAAATGAAACCTTCTTTCAAATTTGCGAATGATTGTGTGCCGAGACTGGTTGGTACAAGAAACCTCGTATTATACTTCCTGTATCTTAAATAAAGCTGTTATGTACGTTAAAAGTAAAATCTTTTCTCAGCTTAGTGGGGAAATCTTTTTCAACGCATGTTAAGAGGTTTCCATTTCATGCGACTCGGTTAATTTAAGAACGTTCAACTCCAGAAAGAACAATAGCAACGCATTCATAACATATTATCAAAATACAGCGATCACCATTAGAGAATCTAGAAACTCTGATCGACAAAGAAAATATAATGAATGGACAAGAGGCTTTCCACTATCGGCAATGTTTACATCTAATTTCAGACTCTGTTTGAATTTACTTTTTTAAGCAAGACTACATTTTTCACATTTTCCACACTTAAACATTTATTGTTATGTGCATATTTTTCTGCTCTCATGGCCAAGCATTGCAATTTAAAAACTATAAAATATATGATTTTAAATATACAATTTTTCGCATGGAAAGCAACATTTGAATAAATTAAATGGTTTACCTTTTAAGGCATTACATTCCAACAATGTATGTTTCTTTTTGCCTGGAGGTCTTTCTCGAATACCATTTAGTTCATCAATTAATTGTTATTTTTGCCTCCTTTATCAATGAAATACATATTAATAACATTCAATTCGTATTTAATTTAATTTTTCAATGAGCGATGAACTAATTTGGGAAGCCATTTCGAAGAGCAAACTTACGCCAATGGCGTAATACAATTGCCATATATATACATGTGCATATATGTACATCCGATTGCGGCTTCTATATATGTGCGTTATATTAACGAATACCCGAAGAATCTTCAGTGGGCATAAGAAAGCTAAAAATGAATTTGGCACACGACCGAGTTTAGCTATACATTTTCTTTCTTATTTCCTTTCATTTATATGACTTAAATTAGTAAAATCATTTTAGGCAAATCATAAATCACACAGTGAAATAAAACTTTCTTTGCTAAAATGTTTGGATTAAATACGCTTGCAATTTTTGTAGTTCTCATAGCAATATTGTTAGCCATTTAGCTTTTATAGAGTTTTTGACTTTGGCTCATGGCTAAGAACCATAAAAAGACACCCCAGACAAGAATGAAAAAAAAAAGAAAAGTGCAATAGAGAAAAGAACGAAACTTTTACCAAGTCTGTCTGCGCCTTTTAATTTTCCTTTCTTTCCGTTTTACGAGCTACAAGACTACAACTTTCGAGTGCCAAAACTTGATTTATTTACTTGCCCGATGGGTTAAACGACCTCAAGAAGGCGGCCAGACTGATAAGTTCGCTTCTGCCCCGTCTAATTAGTGGAAGCCCCTTCAATGGCCGACTTCAAAGTGGCTTTTAGCTCTTGCGGTTGTCGATACTTCCAACAGCAGCAGCAACAAAATTGAAATTATTTTTAGCCACGCACATGCGAAATAAACCGAGGAGATAAACAATTCCGCCAGGCCAAGCCCAAAACCGGGTGCGATTACCAGAATCAGTATCGAAACAAGTCGAAAAGCCAAAGAAAAACGGGAGCGGGCCAAAGATAAAAATAAATGGCGATTGCGCTGTAAAGTTCATTGCATTTTCAATAGCAACAAAACAAACGCCAGATGGCTAAGATGTTCCCGTTCATCAGACGCTCATTTGTCATTGTTATCGAACTCTGGGAGAAACGATTGAAAAAGCAATCAACGAGGTGAAAAACTCACATAAGAATCGCCTTAGCCATTATTATTTTAAATCGCTTGGGCAATATTTTTCGTTTCGTTAAGTGCTGCTCACTTTAGTTCAATCAATCCCCGACCTTGCATTGAAAACGCATTTATGGTCAGGCCAATTATAAATTAATTATATATACATATAAAGTAGGCAACTAAACACAAACAATATATTTAGTAATTATTATAATTTAAAGTGCATATCTCTTTTCAAAACAATGCCATGTTGATTACAAAATCATTTAAAAAATTAAATTTTAATAGACAAAAGCTCAATTGTTAAAATATCTCAACTATAGCCCTGTTTTCAATTGTTTTGCAATTCAAATATAATTTTAACGCGCAATATGGATTTGTTTACCAAATCGATCAAATTTTGAAAAATACTTTTTGCTTTGAGCCATTTGGTCAAAAGGTAAATTCGCACCAATTGTTTACAGATACAATGTGCAGATATTTCAGAGATTTATTTATTTTAGGAACGATTTATCTATTTGAGAGCTTTAATTGATAAACAATTTTGAAAAACAAATCTTACAACAAAGAATTGTAATTTTATTTATTTCAAGATTGCACTGGATTTCAATATTTTCATTATGGCTTTAATTTTCATATTTATCGCTGCTTTCCGTCATAACCTGACCTGAAAAATTCATTTATCGGGTTCAAAAGCACTTTGGTGCCAGCTGTTGTGCCATTTTTCCAGTCGAGAGATTAATGTTCGTACAGCGGGGCGTATAATTGATATTGCATTCTGAGCGATGAATAATTATATCCACGATAAGAATGAAAATAGCGACGAATTATTGTAATTGCCCACCTCAAACTCTGAATTTAACTTCAAACTTCAGGGCAATAAATAATTTGTTAACTTTGGTTGAAAACCCAATTCGCTAGCTCTATAAATTATATTAAGCCAACGACCACGACAAATAGCATACAAAACTCTAAATACAATATTCACTATAACATCGTTCGTATGCAAATTCTGGGGATACTTAATTAAGGCATCTCTGTGACTTCAAACAATGGAGTTCGAAATTTACGGTGCTTTGGCATTTGACATGGGAAAACTTCCGACACTCTGAGAATATTCGCGTCAACGAAACAAATTTCAAGCTGGCAAAAAAGAAAACACCCAACCACACAATGGGCGGAGAAGGGGCAACAAAGTTTCACAACTAATTAGAAACTGTTGACGGGGGCGCCTCCACTCGCTGCTGCTATCTATTCAATTACATCGTCACCACAGTTGACAGGCAGGGCTCAATTTTGTGATGAAGCGAAGTTCGTGTCAAGAAATATAAGTCTGGTATTAAATATTTTTATTTTATTTTGAATAATTTATTGGCACACTCCTTCGCAAAAAAAATATCACTTTACGTTCTATTCAAAAATATATTAAATTTATATTGGGAATAATTTTGCCAGTAATGACAATAAATTGGACAACATGAAATTATTTCCTCAAGAAAAAAATGTTTTTTATTTTTAGCAAGGAAAGTCGCCACGACTCACGAGGCAGCCCGAACTCGTCGCCAACTAGTCGACAGCTGTGCACCTACACTTAATTTACGTCTGATTGAAGCTTTGACCTAAGCAAAGCGTTCGAAGCTAAATTAACATACTAATGTATTCAATTATTCGCATTCCTTGGTAATTTGCAACGGTGCCAGAGACCGATTGGCTTTCGATACTAACTAAGTAAGTAATAAAACAATAGGCATCTTTTGCTTGTTGCCACTTGCACCTCCCATTTCACCTGCTCAATCGCAAGTCATTAAAATTAATGGTTCAAAGGTGGGTAAAAGTAAGGTACGAAAGCGAGTGTGAAAAGAAAACAAGCAAAAGTATTTTGTTTTCTATGAACCAGAAAAGGCAGGGTAGAAAACACAAAAAACTTAGAACGTAACAGCCACCTTCTAATATAATTAATGATATTTAAAAGCAAAACGGGTATATCTTGACGTTGCCTTAATTTATATTTAAATATATGAAAGCCTACGAAAAGTACTATAACGAAAGCAAGTCAAGAATTGAATCATATATTAGGAACCAAGAACCAAGAAAATAACTCAATAAATTGCACAGGAAGCGATAAGGCAACAAGACAAAAATAAAAAAAATATTTGAACAAAACTGAATTTGTAGAGATTCATTGTTTGTGGTCAGCATAAATGCATTGATGTATAGACACATACATTTGTATGTTTGTGGGGCTTTACTTTGATCTTCTTTTGTAAACACATGTGATTTCCCTTTAAAGTATTTTTAGAATTTGTCAGCGTCTTCTGTTGCGCAAAAAACCCACCAAATGTGTTAAATGTTTACATAACAAATGATTGCAACTTATTTGTAAAAATGTGTACCTAAATATTTCTAAAGAGCAGGAAAAATAAATGAGCTTTACTTGTCAAACTCAAAAGACTAAGAAACTTGCGAAATATAATACAGACCTTATTAATTGAGCGATAAGAAAACGTAAAGCACAAATCATAATGACAGAAGGGAGGTTTATGAGCCCTATCCATGCAATTTGCCCATCCGTAATCGCATATTTATAATACCATAAACAAAAATCGAACCCCCAAATCGCAATAGAACCATGAGAACGCAATGTGTGATCAATTAAGTTAGGCCAGGAATAAGGGAAAACATTTTCGCTGGAGTGCCAGCGATTGCTACAAATAAACTAAAAGTGTGACTGTGCCACTTGAACGCGTGGTATATAGCATACTGAAGACAATGATTAAGTGTACATATATAGCGAGCTCTCTGACAACTGACGTAGTGATAAGGCCCCGTTGCTAAAAAGCCACGTAGTCGAACCCTCAGATACTAGTTGGAATTCGCTTATCAAAATAAACGCGTGATGAAGCTCTCTTCGATTTTAAGGGAAGCTAACTTCCTCTTCCATTTTCAAATTTACAATCTGAGTCACAAATGTATTGACTTTTAAATTCCCCAACAATTTTTTTGGAATTGCCCGTGGAACTGAGAATGGAGTGATAAGCTGCTCGTAGCATTATAAGGGCATATACATATGTATCTACAACTGCGGGCAAACTGAATAATTAGATAGATATCGAACTCTAGATTATGTAATGAGCAAAATTATTTGGATTAATGTTTTTGATAAAAATAATTTAGTAATCTAGTAATCAGACTTAACCATTATTAGTTGATCCAATTATTTGATAATGTGGGGCGGCTTCAGGCTATAATACAATGGTACAATAGTCCCATGAAGTAGTTCAATACAGTATAAGGAGTGTACTTTCAAAATTATGTATTTGCGGAAAAGTCAAAAATTGGGTTAAAACAGTAGGTACATAAATTTAAATAAAATGTTTGTGTTTTGCGTCACTTACACAATTTTAAAAAGTTATTAATTATTACGAGATAATCGTTAGTTTAATCTTCAAAATCTTATATTTTAACTAGCGGATTCGTGCAAACCAAATAATTATGTATATTTATTCAAATAGGTAGTTCTATTATACTGCCGGTAAGTGTTAAATTTTTATGAGACACGTCGCAAACAGTGAGTAAATTTGGGCTATAAACATAAAATAAGCACTAAGTCAACCATAATCAGCGGCGTTAAACTGTAAAAAGCAAGAGATAAGTCGGTTGCTTCCGTTGCTCTTTTTGTTTTCTGTCTCTGATTCGTCTTTTGCATCGCGAAGTTACGGATTGCGAATCGGAGTCAATTGCCTCAAGCTGTATCTTAACGGTACCTGGAGCAAACGAGAGCGACAAAGAGAGGGAGTGTGGGGGCGTGTGAGGGAGAGCGGCTAATAGATTGCATGAAACAGAGACAAACGAGCAAACAACGCATCAAGTAACAGTTAAAAGTTGTTGTTTGCTCTCTTTCTATCTCTTTCTCCCTCTCACTCGACTGCAATTAGCAAGCGAGTAACGTCAACTACCGTTGAACCCAATTGAGTAGAAGATGAAAGGGGGTGGGAAAGGGGAGATAGATGGAGAAATACTCAAAGACATCGCACAGTGGTTGGCAAGACAATAAAATCCCTAAAGAGTTCAAAATGTCCTCTTTACAACATCTGGAAATAGAGCAATAAAAAGTACACACTGATGGAATTTTAATCATATCACAGGTAAAGAGGCTTCAATCCGCTTTTCCCGCTCCCAAAAGAGCTGCACATATGTAGCTCCAGGTATGCAACGGATTTTTTGACAGCTGCTATTTGTTTCAACTGATTAAGAAAAGAAACAATTCGGTGTTGCCTCATTAAAAAGGTTTACAGTTTTGATTAATTAGTTCATGTTAGAAAATGTTAATCAACGAATCGCTTAGGATAAATTGACATATATTTATATTTTTGTTAATTTAACTGCAAGCAGATAAATCGACTTATTCGCAAACGAAACCAAACTTGGGCATCATTAGGAAAAAACAAAAATAATCTGTGTTAGTAGATTCGAAATTCTAAGCCCACTGTGCACCGTGGATCATCGCATCCAACTGCAGTGCCCGTGCAAACAAATCCGCAGCAGCAGAAAAGAAGAAAAGTTAAAACCGCGACTGTTTCAATCTGTTTGCCTTTTATTAAATGCCGGTGAGACAAAGATACTTTGAAAGATAGAGAGGAAGGGAGAAGCCAGAACGATCGGAGGCTGTGCGAGGGAGAGAGCGAGAAGGCAGGTAAAAACCCGTCAACAATATTTGGGGTCCGGAGGGCGGGGGGCGGGGCTGTTGGTCTGCAACGCTTAACTGGTTCTTGGCAACCAACTTGTTTTTTCTGTAGATTGCCGCCGTCTGTGGTTTATTATGTTTTTTCCCCTGACTTTTGCCTTTGCAATTTTTAATATGGTAACTTGATTTAAACGAAAAACTTACCCAATAAAAAACAATAGCAATAAAATCGTAGACGTGGATTTATTTGCTCCTTTTTCGTTCAATTGATTTGTTTGGGGAACTTTTTGTTTGCCTCTATGGTGTTTTTTATTTCATTTTTTTTATATATTAAAAACTATTTTTACGCGGGGATGAAAACAATTTTCAGCATGGCAACAAAACAAAAGCAACAACAACAAGAATACAGAAGGACCCCATAACAGCCGAGGTCAGGCAGATAATGCAAACGAGAAAAAGGCAAATTAATAATTGAATTTTGTGTTATTTCGCAAAACAGAATTCTCGATTAATATTTATTTAATTATGGTTTTTTAACTCGGCCACCACATAACAGCACCGCTCACTTTTTTCCACGTCTTTGCCTGAACCTCGTTCGGTTTTTCTGTTTTGTTTGGTTTTTCTTTTCTTCTTTTTTCCCCGTTGGTTGTTGCTAAGAATTTCAATACAATTTTGGCCCAAATAGCATTTTCACTTTTCCACACAAACACACACTCTCAAACACACTGTTGTTTGGCTCCGTTTTAAATGAAAATAATCAAACATTTACATTGCCGTGTGTTTTTGCTCCACGAAAATGTATGATTATGTATGATTAGTTTCGCCTCGTCGCTGCACACGCGAAAATCCGACGAAACAAAGAAACAAGAATCGACCGCGAGGAAACGTAACAACCAAAAATCGCGTCAACACAAAAATCGCGTACGAATCGCTCGTCGGAGCTAGAGGTGAGGAAACATCGATGGCGACATCAGTATATCGATATTTAAAAATACATCGGTTATATCGATGTTTCACAAGCAAAATGGTGGTTGTATTCGCTACAAACTGAGACCCAGCTACGTGTGGAGTAAGTCCACGCTAACTGATATCGATATCGATTGACAACAGATAGATAGGCAGCAATGTTGAAATACACTCCGCAGAAAATTAATCCTTGGTTGTTGCAACTCTGCTTTTTAAAAATGAATGTGCTTAATTAAATAAAATACAATTTAAAAATATTTGTTATCGTACATTTAATAGAATAATTGGATCCAAGCTTTTAACTTGTGGCCTTAAAGCCTGTTTAACACCATTCAAGATATTCCTTGGCATGGCAAAAAATATTAATTTATGAGCTTGGTTTATTGTACCCATCAGTTTGAAAGCATATTGCAAGATTTTGATTTTGTTGCAAGAAAATTTAATATTTTTAGCATTTAAAGCCTAGTACTGAGATTGACGAAATCTGTTCGTCAGCAATGAGAGAGAGAGAGAGAGACAGAGAACGAGAGGCAACCAGCTAGCGAACACTTTTTGGGTTTTTTTTGTCCATTTTTGATCACCGAGCTCTGACAACAGATAACATTTTTTAATCGCTAGACGCGACGAGCGTTATCATCAGGTGGCAACGCGACGGATTTTTCTGGTATTTTTTCTCTGATCTGAATACTGTGGTTAAAAAAAGGGCCTCACAAAAAATGTTTGCCAGCTGTTTTGTTTCCGCTCTTTCTCATGGCTGACAAACATATTTCGTGCTAGGCTAAAAATTGTAATCTTTTCGTGTGCCGTTTTGTGTAGAAATTAAAAAAAATGGAGGGAAAATATAAAAGAGCCCGCAAAAAACGCTTGCAGGAATTCAGTGGTGAGGATAAAATACAACTTATAAGAAATGTGGAATCCCGCCCAGTACTGTGGGATTTATCAAATAAAAGCCATTTTGATGCCACCATTCTGAAAAAAGCCTGGGAGGGAATCGCTAGGGAAATGGATAAAGACGGTAAGTCATAATTTTACATTAATAAATATTTCTTAACGTGGACATGCACAATATTTATGTTTAGATCATAGTTGCAAGCTGGCTTGGAAGTCGCTCCGTGATAGCTACAAGTACCATTTGAAATCCAAGCGAACGAAGAGTGCTGAAGGTGACCCACTAGGGAAGCCAAAGGGCATGTCAGAGTGGGATTTCGCACCCTACATGGCGTTCCTACCGGAAGTGACCACGCAGAGGCAGTAGGTTCTGGCAAACAATTTGGTAACGTTATACTAATATAATGCATTTTCCACAGAACAACCCGATCTTGTTATTCCGAAATCGAGGAAGCAATGGAGCAGTCGTACTCCATTGATGAATCGCTGAACTACACAGAAGACTTGAAAGAGGAAGCGGAGCTGGAGGTGTCCCTGGAATTGCCTTCCTACGTAAGTTGGTAAACTTCTATAAAATAATATAGTTTTCATAGGATATATCTATATTTTTAAAGGCTGAAGAAAGAAGGACCGCCAAAAAGCGTAAGGTTGAGCAATCACCGGCCGCAAAAATATGTGGCATCCTGGGAAACTACTTGCAGCAACAGCAAAACACCACCATTCCCACTCCCGCAAGGCCCATATTTGTGTACTGGGAATCGGAGCTCAATAGTTTGTCTCCGGAAGACGCTGCTGAAGTCGAACAGAAGATGACGAGGCTTCTGTGGGAGGAGAAAGCCGCTAGGAACTAAGTATCGGTTAATAAAAGTTAATAAAAGAACATATTTTAATCTTGTCAATATTACTTCTGTTTTTTAATTACTTTAAACACCGGCAGACTCGTCTTGCCAAGGCAATTGAGAGTATCCAGCAGTGCCGTTCAAATATTCTTTTACGTTGTTCCGAACTTCCTTGCTGAAGTCCTGAGGGCGACCTCGTCGGCCTGGTTGCAAGTCGGTCAGCACAGTGCTTGGTATATCCTGCATAACGTAAGTTGCTCGACTCTCCCGTATTAAAAAATTATGCAGAGCACAACAGGCTACAACTATTTTTTGAACTTTGCTTGGATTGATTAGCAAAGTATGTTGTAGAGCCTTCCACCTCGCGCTGAGAATACCAAATGCGTTCTCAATGGAACGACGAGCACGACTTAGCCTATAGTTAAATATCCGCTCCTTCCGATCTAGATCATTGCCACTATACGGCTTCATGAGACGCTTATGAAGGGGAAACGCATCATCACCGACAATGTAATATGGAGTGCAATGCCCGTTTATCACTTTGTCCTTCGGAAAGGGCAGCTCGTCCAATAGCAACTGTTCGCCAAGATCACTGTGGGTGAAGGCATTAATGTCTCCCTCGCTACCAAGAGCCCCCACAACGATGTAGGTGAAGCGATAGTGAGCGTCGCAAATTGCCATTAGCACAACGGAGTGAAAGCCCTGTATTACAAAAGATTTTGTTATTGAATTCTAATGGCAACTAAAAAGTACTTACCTTATAATTGTGAAAAAGACTTTTGCTATTTGGCGGGGCCTTTATCGCCACATGCTTTCCGCCGACGGCTCCAATACAGTTTGGAAAGCTCCATTCGTCGTCGAAGCCTCTAGCCCACTTCAGCATATTGCCCGTCGTCCACTTGGGTAGTTCTTTCTGCAAAGCAGTCCAAATTGCAATGGACACCTGGAGGATGATCTTCCCAAAATGTTGTTTGCTGATCCGATAAGTAGCTCCAACATGGCGTTGCTGATCTCCAGAGGCAAGAAATCTAAATAAAAGGATATTAAATATTAATATATTGTTTTCTAAGAATAAGCATATAAAATCAAATTACTCTAAAACGATGGCCAACTTTGCTTTTATTGGTATAGCATCTGGGCGAGTGTTCCGCTTCGGTATAAGATACTCCTCCACCATTCCAAAAAGCGTGTTAAAACTCTTTTCAGACATGTGGAAGTTTTCGAAAAACATCGAGGGAGTTTTCAGCAAGTTCTGAAACTTTAAAATAAAAAGAAAATACTCTTTGGTGCAGAAATATTAATATCTTTTTTAACAGTATTACTTACGTCGGAAGAATGTCGGCCTTTATTGGATCTTTCCTGCAGATATGGGCTCACCCAATATTTCCGCCGAGGTCTTTTCTTTTGGGCACTTTCCTCCTCTAATGCAACAATGCATGCCGCCATGGCGACAACCAATTTTACGTTTGCGTCCTTTCTGCTCAACATTTTCGTTTAAGTGATATATTTCACATTGTTTGGTTTACCGTTTATCAACAAACCCAGGTGATTGACAGTAAGACCGTAGAGCGCTCAGTTTGGATTAACTCTTTAAAATTCGGTCACACTGGAATTGAATTAAAATTGTATTGTTTTTTAACTTCTTTGTGTACCAGCATACCATGCCTACTCCGCCAAACCAAAAAAAACCTGCTAACGTCCTAGTATTGGATTTAGTTGCATTTGGTAAATTTATAATGTAGAAAATATGTTGAGCCATAATGTAACTAATTTAAATTGCTCTTTTGAATTATTGCGCCTAATTCGTTGGTGTCTCTCCGTTTTATTTCTTTCCGTTTCAAACAACCGCCGATAACACCACCGCGATGTCCACTCGCAGCAATGCAGCTATGTGCTCGCTGACAAACGTAACGTGACGTGACCAGCAAATGACGTGACGGCGAAAGGGCAGTGCAAAGTGGACGAGCGAGAGCCGAACGAGTAGAGAAAAAATATTGAGCGCAGAAAAGTCCACCAAATCGAAAGTCGCAGCAAGTGAAAAAAGGCAAAAAACCCGGATAAATAACCAGAGATTATTGTGATTGAGATATAAGCGAGCCGCAGCCAAAATGAATGAGGAATACGACGCGATTGTGCTCGGAACGGGGCTGAAGGAGTGCATCCTCAGTGGGATGCTGTCCGTATCCGGCAAAAAGGTGCTGCATATTGATCGGAACAAGTACTATGGCGGCGAATCCGCCTCGATAACGCCGCTGGAGGAGCTCTTCCAGCGCTACGGACTGGAGCCGCCCGGCGAGCGGTTCGGGCGTGGTCGGGACTGGAACGTGGACCTGATCCCCAAGTTCCTGATGGCCAATGGCCAGCTGGTCAAGCTGCTGATCCATACGGGCGTTACCCGATATCTGGAGTTCAAGTCCATCGAGGGCAGTTACGTCTACAAGGGCGGCAAGATAGCCAAGGTGCCGGTGGACCAGAAGGAGGCCCTTGCATCCGATCTCATGGGTTCGTCTTTTTTCTACATACTATGATTAATTTTCTTTTTACCCTCCCAAAAATTGTGCAAATTACCAGCTGTGCGTGTGTGTGTGTGTATGTACTCGACTGTTATCTGCCCCCCGTCTCTCTCTTTCTCTGTTCTTTGTCTCGGCTTTTTCACTCGCTCGGTGTTGTTGTTGTTGTTTTCGACTGTGACACGTATGTGTGCGCCGAAAAAACAGTTGTTTTCTTTGGCTTACCAGAGAAAATCTACTATTTCTTTGAAAATTTCCCCACCTTGTTTATTTGTATAACTATTATCGCCCTATTACGATTAGAATTCCTACTGGGGTGGATAAAACTTAATCGCTCTTCGCTGATTCATACACCTGCCGCTAATTGCTCGAGTCTATTTTACACCTGATATTCGCTTTGGTTGAAATTTTTTGGTTTTTCTCTTCTTCGTGGCAGCAACAAAATGCAATTAGTCAACTCACGCTCTATTTATTTATGATTGGGTCTTGAATTATTTCCATTTTATTTTTACGTATTTTTGCAACAAAGTTATTGGTGAGGCGCATTGAACCCCTTCTCTTCACAGTGGAGCTTGCCAATCAAAGACTGCGCAGTGGTTTACTTTTAACCTTGAACTTCACCTTTCAACCGATTTTCTTTTTTCAGCATTTAAGTACTTGAAAATCACAACTTAATCTCTTTCTCAATCTTTTTTAAATTATACATTTTTAACATACCATTATTAGCCAAGTTAAGTCAAATATTAAAAAGTTTAGTCGAAATAATGTTCTGCTCTTAAATTTAGTATTTATTGTTCCAAAAGGATTTGAGAAATAATATTTTGTGGTTCCTGAAGGACATTACTTTCATTGTTAATAGATCTTAACTTAATTTCATTTCTATATTACTAACAATTCTTTCCTAAAGTGTTAATAATTGAAACAACATTGTTAATAGGCTTTAATTTGGTATTTAAATGTGATTTCCTTTGTCGATGGTTCACTGTGTCCGCATTACACATATGCTTAGAATGACGTCAGAAGCGTGTCCACCACTTGGTTTCCGATTGTTGGTGGTGGCTCGACCGCCCCCAAATTAAGGGTTTTAAATTATAGTTGTGTGCTTGTGTGGCATGTAAATGAAATGAAAAAGAAACGGGAAACCTAAAACTCTGGACTCGCGCACTCCCTTATAGACAGATCCTTTTCCCAGAACTGACCAATATGGTAAATGATACATAAATGTAAACACATTCGCAGGTATGTTCGAGAAGCGTCGCTTCCGGAACTTCCTCATCTACGTGCAGGACTTCCGGGAAGATGACCCCAAGACCTGGAAGGACTTTGACCCCACCAAGGCCAACATGCAGGGCCTGTACGACAAGTTCGGCCTGGACAGGAACACGCAGGACTTCACCGGCCACGCCCTGGCCCTGTTCCGCGACGACGAGTATCTGAACGAGCCGGCCGTGAACACTATCCGGCGCATTAAGCTCTACTCCGATTCGCTGGCGCGGTACGGCAAGTCGCCCTACCTCTATCCCATGTACGGATTGGGCGAGCTCCCCCAGGGATTCGCCCGCCTGTCGGCCATCTACGGCGGCACCTACATGCTGGACAAGCCCATCGACGAGATCGTCCTTGGCGAGGGCGGCAAGGTGGTGGGCGTGCGCTCAGGCGACGAAGTCGCCAAGTGCAAGCAGGTCTACTGCGATCCCAGCTACGTGCCCGAGAAGGTAAGACTCGCATTCTTTGAATATAATTTTGCTGTAAAAAAAGGTTGCCTAAAAAATGGTAAAGAACTAAGAAATACCTATCAAAAATATAACTTAAACCAAATAGGCAACAAATCGAATTCATTACCTTAAACACTTTTTTGTATGTAAAAGAAATGATTATAAGAACGGTTTATTGAGGCTAATTTATGCTAAAACTGAAAATTAATCTTAATACGAGCAGTCTTTGAAAAGAAAGTTATACAAAAACTTGTTTTTTCGGAGATGGCAAATGACTTATCTTTACCATTAATTGTCTTACCTTTGCCTTAAAAATGTCCTTCAAAATTTGAAGAAAAAAGCAAAGCTATTTGTTAATCATATAATAAACCGTAAACCTACGAGATGATAAAAGAGGCTGTCTTCGGTAGAGCTTCGCAAATATAGGGTATTTCCAACTCGTAATTAATGTCATTTAAATTATTGTGATTGGTTTGTCCCCTTTTATTATTTGCATTATTTGTTTAGCCTTTAATACAAATATTCAAGGTTGGTTGGTTGGCCAGTGCAAAACCAAACGTGTATCTAATGATAAGCAAAGTCTATTCCAGAGGTGTAGTATATGCCTTCTACTTTCTCGGTCTTAAGATAAATATTGATCACATTCCTCCAAGATCTTAAATGCAATTAATTTGGCGTCAATTCGCCGTCAAGATTCAAAAGCATCAAACCAAATATTTGTCAGATTCGTTTCAAAATAATAGTACACATGACCAATCTTTACAAATGATTATGGAGTTGTGTTAAAAAAGTCGGACACCTTAAAAAAATAAGCGAAAATGCATTGCCCTTCAGATAAGCCTTACCATCAGTAAATATTGTCGTTATTTCGTACGCCTAAAACTGAGGGAATAATAAAATGTTAAATTTAACTAGAGTGGTTAAATAAAAAAAATCTGTTCACGAATTAAGACTTAATCATTTTGCATATTTAACTTTGTATTTGCGAAAAGATTACTAAAATATGTAAGCCATTCTTTAAGACAACACGATTCTATTATAATATTACTCTATTATAATATTTATATAATTATTATAACTAATTTCCTTTCCGTTTGGGTTGCAGGTGCGCAAGCGTGGCAAGGTGATTCGCTGCATTTGCATTCTGGATCATCCGGTGGCCAGCACCAAGGACGGTCTCTCCACGCAGATTATCATTCCACAAAAGCAGGTGGGCCGCAAGTCGGACATCTACGTGTCGCTGGTGAGCTCCACTCACCAGGTGGCCGCCAAGGGCTGGTTCGTGGGCATGGTCTCGACCACCGTTGAGACCGAGAACCCGGAGGTGGAGATCAAGCCCGGCCTGGACTTGCTCGAGCCGATCGCACAAAAGTTCGTAACCATTTCGGACTACTTGGAGCCGATCGACGATGGAGCCGAGTCGCAGATCTTCATTTCGGAGTCTTACGATGCGACCACGCACTTTGAGACCACTTGCCTGGATGTGTTGAACATATTCAAGCGCGGCACTGGCGAGACGTTCGACTTTTCCAAGATCAAGCACGAGCTGGGCGACGAGGAGCAGTAAGCGGGGAGCGAGGCCTCATCTGGTTATGGTGCATTTGGACAGCTCAACATCAGCCACAAACATCGTAGATCGTCTCAGCGTCGTGGCCAAACCTTAAAGAAATACCCAAGATAAAAAACCCAAAATAAAAGCCTAAAAAAACTAAAGAAAAACGAAAATCCATAAATTGTATTACGAAAATGCTTTTCCATCGACCGATGAAGTTTTAGATGTGAATCGAATTGCTTGCTTCGCGCAATATTGGATATGCCTAGAAAATATATATATATATACACCAATATAACATAAATTACACAACATGCAGTCGCGTATATATGTACGTCTATATATATGTATAACTAAGTGAGTGTTAGGCAACTAAATCAAATTCACACAGATTCAGCTTGTTGTGACTTGAGAAAGGGTGAAAGGCTCGACGATTAATGTCGGTCAGTCAGTCACGCGATTATGCTTGGACTTTAGTTGTACGAGTATATAATAAAGTATATATATAATATATGACATCGTATATATATATTGTCTATGTATATTGCCCTTTTGCTTGGTTTTCTTTTTTTTGTGATCGACGCTGTTTTTGTGCCTCCCAAGGCCGCAAACATGCAAAATACATACCTATAAACACGACACACTCTCACACATGCATAATGCAGCATTATAATTGTAATTGTAATCCCCAACAACAAACAAGAAGATATCGATGGTATTGAAAATGTAAAAGGTCGAAAAAGTTCATCGCAGCATACCCAATATATGGCAATTGATCGAAGC